GATAGTTCTGTGATGGAGGCCGTCCTGTGAATTCTACAATACCTTCCTTACCAGATGGTTCTGTGATGGAGGCCGTCCTGTGAATTCTGCAATGCCTTAACCTAGTAAATGTGCACAGACCTGTAGCTGGAGAATTTCTCTCCAGCTCCCGCCAAGTCCCGCCAGTCCCGGAGCCCACTTATAAAATAAACAGACTCTTACATTATTTAAACTGCTTGGCCATTAGCTCAGGCCTATCATTGTCTAGCTCTTACTCTTATACTTAGCCCATTTCTATTAATCTATACTTTGCCACGTCGCTCGTGGCTTATTGGTACCTTACATCTTCCTTGTCCTGGCAGCGGCTCCAGCAGTCTCCCCCTCTGCCTTCCTGTTCCCTCAATTCTCCTCTCTGCTAGTCCCGTCTATACTTCCTGTCTGGCTACTGGCCAGTCAGTGTTTTATTTATATAGAGCAATATCCACAGCACAGACCCAAGTTCTGAAAACTAGAAATATATAAAGACACCACCATGTGCCTTCTGGGGCAAATTAGTCTCGGTTGAAAGCCCTAGAGGAATACACTTGTAGCTAGTGCTCGCTACTGAGAGCTAGCTACCAAATGTGTTCCTGGCTGTGCTGCCCTTCTAGTCTTGTTCCTTGTCCCAGGTGTCCTTGTTCTCCATGAGAATGGAGTGTTTAGAGGGTATATATATCATTTCATTGGGTGTGTCTTATGTTTTAAGGGTAAACAAAATAACAAGAGTACAGCAGCCCTCCCTCCATATATATATATATATATATATATATATATATATATATATATATATATTTACATTATTTTGCCAGAATATTTTTCCTTTAAAAATTATAAAACTGGGTACAAAAGTGACCTTTTCCTTTATTCCTTATTTTATTGAAGGATAGCTTAGAAAAATAGGCCATTGTCTTTGAAAAGCTTCAGCTTTCTGTGCATGTCACTGACAGGTTATTTTGATAGATTTTGAAATAGAAAGTGCTTTTGTTTATGTCTTTTAATATTTTGTTCATGCCTTTCCCCCCGCCCCCTCGGGTAGTCCAGGCCAGCCTCCAAATCCCTGTTTATCCAAGGGTGGCTTTGAACTTCAGATCCTCTGTGTCCATCTCCAGAGAGCTGGGATTACATGTGTGTACCTCAATGCTTGGCTTGTTCATGACTTTTCACATAGCCCCTATGTACCAAGAATCATTATGGAAGAAAAAAAAATCATTCTGAGGAATGGTTGAATTTGAAGTTTTGAAGATCATTGAACTATTAAAAATAGGCAAAAAAAATGTAAATAATAAGTTTTTATAACATATCTTAAGCATATGAAAAATAGTCAGCCTTGTATAATGGACAAATACAAATCAAGGCAAGGGAGGTGGCCTTGGATAAAGCTCTCTCCCTTTCAGCAAGAGGAGCAGAGTTCAGATCCCCAGAAGCCACACAAAAGTGTTGGCTATCTGGAGAGGCAGTGGGGGAATCCTGGGGCAGAGCAGCTAGGCTAGCTGGGGACTGTGAGTTCTAGGTGCAAGGAAAGACCTAGCCCCCCTTAAATAAAGCGAAGAATGCACATGCGTGCATAACATGAATGCCAGTGCTCACTACACACACAAAGGCGGGGGGGGGGAGTACCAGTTGAAACTGCACAAAACTAAGTACCGCTTTTGATGTAAGAGCAACAGATTTGATAGTGCGCTTACAAAACAGCTCATGAGAAAACAAACCCTGTTTTTCTTATTCCATTTTCAAGTGTGTCATGTTCATATCAGTGTGTTTACATGCCTTCTGCACGTTTGGGCCCGTGTGTGTGCAAATGTGGCGCACATGGGTACACACGTGCATGTAAAGGCCTGAAGTTGATGTCAACCCTAGTCACCCCTAGTCAACTCTACCACTTTGATTCGCTGAGGCAGGGTCTCTCTGTCAAACCCGGAGCTCACTAATGTGAGTGAGTAGTCTTGCTAGCCAACTTGCTCTGGGGACTTCACGTCTCTCTCACCTTTCCAAGGCTGGAGCAGGAGGGCCACCACACCTACCTCCCGTTGGCATGGGTTCTGGGATCTGAACTCCAGTGCTCCCACTTGCTTGTGGGGCGAGCACCGAGTCGTTTCCTCTGCCGCACAAACTCTTAGTATTTTCCCTGTAGACATATAAGTTGGTATAACCTTCATGAAGGCAGTATCTGAAAGTTTCGTGTGTGTGTGTATGTATGCTTTGACCCAGGAAATATTCTGGGACATTCTTTCTTTACATATACTGCAGACGTGGTAAAGGTAGGAATACGTGACTACTCTCTGGCTATTGTTTATAATAACAAAATATTGGTAATAGTCATGGCTGATGTTCAAAGCACATCCAACGCATCAGGAATTCAAGTTCTTTATGTATGTTACATAACTTATTTAGTTTTCATGATGACTGCCAAGTGTGCTCCATTTTACAGATAGAGAAACTGTGTTGTTAAGATTATATAATTAATAAGATTTGGAATCAGGGCCTAGCATGATAGTTTGATAAAGTGCTTGCTGTGTGAACCTAAGTTTGACCCCCAGAACATGAAAATCTAGGCACGGTCTGGACTGAGAGAATGTAGTGAGGATGGCACTTTCCCTGTGTGGTCTGCCTCCTCAGAACCCAAACCTCGGTCTAATGATGAGATAAACGTCAGGCAGTTCCCCTAGGGAGGCATACTGTAAAACACAGGACCAGTAGGCAGCAGAGTCAGAATCTCCAGAGACTGCAAAATGTGAGAGTCCAAAAAAGACCCTAATAGTACCTGGCAGCTCAAGGTCATAGAGATTCATGGACGGGATCCTGGGAAGGAGAAAGGACATGAGGTAAAAGCCAAGGAAATCTAAACAAAATACAGTAACATTTGTTATAAATGTATCATACTAACTATATAAAGTGTTAATAATGGAAAAACTGGGTAAATGGGAATGCTATATGATTTTTTTGTGTGAATTTTTCTGTACATCCAAAACTTAAAAAAAAAAAAAAAAGACTAGTAAATATAGTGAGTAATGTTTTAAAAGTAAATTTAAAATTTAGGCATCCATTTGAGAGGAAAGCCTGAACATAATTGTGTATAATATTTTAAGTATGGTTTATTAATTGTTTAAGAAGTTCGTGCAGTTTATGTTGATCGTACTCACCTCCTTCCTCCCCCAACTCCTTTCAGATCCGCCCACCCCCACCTCCCTACACCCCCAGCACTGTGTCCAGTTTTTCTTTCAGTTTCTTGAGTTCATTTGTGTTACTCATATCCTCCTGGATGTGGAGGCATCCACTGGAGGAGCATGGGCAACCTTCCTAGGAGCCACACCCTCCAAGACGAACCCTCCATCACCTGTCCATAGCTCCTCAGGTAGGGTCGCAGGCTCCATCCTTCCCACCTCGTGCTGGAGCGCTTGACTGGCTTGTTCCCATGCGGGTCTTGCCCAGGCACCCATAGCTGCTGAGGGTTCATGGGTGCAGAGGTCCCGTCATGTCCAGTCTACCCCAGCCTCTGCCTCTTGCAGTCTGTCAGGCCCCTCTCCTGTGATGTTTCCTGAGCCTTGTGGGTATCAAGGGGAAGTGAATTTCTTTAAAATTGTAATATGATTTCATGTGTGGGCAGGGTTAAGTCACATCCTCATTTGTGAAGACCTGATTTCTGAATTTTTAAAACTCATGAATAGCAAATATCTGTGTATTCCTTTCCTCAGCAAGTTGTTTCTGTTGATTTTGTATGTTGTTTGGACATTTTAAAACTATGTGTTTGTGGTTTATTTCCTGTTTCTCTATAGCTGTTTATCTTTAATATAGCCACGCCTCTAAAGCTCGGATGTTTTTAAAGATTGGCCACAGTGATTCCCTGAGTGTCAGTGACAATATTTGATCTTTACTCGATTTTCTTTTCAGTCTGTTTTCTGTTATTTTGGTTCTGATATCTGCTTTCAGATAATTCCTATCTTAAGAAGCACACTTATAAAATATTATAATTAACAGCAGGGTTTTCACAAGCCATTAGACCTTTCCTCTAGTCACTCAGTAATTTGTCTTATTTATAGGTGAATATTTTGTGGAAATACTTACTTTTCTAGAAAATGACTTTTTATTGTCAACCCCAACATCTCAACAGTTATTTGTAGTATTTTCTGCACTTTCTTCTACCTGTGCTTGGGTATTTGTGTATTCATTTATCTGTGCGGCGCTGAGGCTGGGTCTGGGCAGTGCACATTCTAGATAAACACTGGACCACTCCTATCCCCAGCTCATGCTCCCATTATCCATTAGGTCATGTGTCTGGTGCAGTATTGTTTAGTATCTTCTCTAGGTTGTAAATTAATTTGAATGTTGCTTTCCTTCTTTAACTGATGTTTTTGGGGTCTTAAGTTTTTCAGTTACTACCAATAAAGAGACAAGGAACAAGTCTTTAACACATTTTACATGTCATATCCGAAGACTAGCAAATAGCTGATCATGTGTTGAACAGTCCCGCTCTAATGAACGGAAGCAACTATTTGCCTTGCAGGCTAAGAATAGTGAGTGGAAGATCATGTTCGCTTATAGCGATTTAGAAGTCTGAATTTTGTAAGAGACCTGTGTTTTTAGGTAATGATTATTTATTTGCAAATTTACTTTTCTGTTTTTGAGCTTTAAAATTAACCAGGATATTTGAGTACAAGGTTCACCTTTTAGATATTAAAAGAGTCGTTAATAACAGCATTAAGCTAGAACACTTTTAAAGGTTTTTATAGCATGCTTACAACAGTAGAAAGCTATGGGATGTTGATCCAGGGCTGTTTTCCTACAGTTCCCAGAGTGTGGATTCTTTGGCATGTATGATAAAATTCTTCTCTTTCGCCACGACATGAACTCGGAAAACATTTTGCAGCTGATTACCTCAGCCGATGAAATCCATGAAGGAGATCTTGTAGAAGTTGTCCTGTCCGGTAAGCA